TCCCCTCCCACTTGTGACTGTAGGACTGTAACTTGCACTTGTATCCTTATGATTTATATTGACTGTTTCCTAGTATGATTTGATTGCTTATTGGCAATCAAGTGTTGTACGTTATGATTCTTGATTCTTAACGAATGAATCTTTTCTTTTATGTATACTGAGAGTATTTTCACCAAGACAAATCACACTTGGCCAATAAAGTATTCTATTCTATTCTATCCTGAGAAAGTGGAAAGTGTGAACAAGAAATTCCAAATCATACCACCTCAATTTTTTCTTGGCACAAGAGGGAGAAGTTTAAAAATTTAGTAATTACACATAAATTATTACATTTTGATTATTATAACCTACATAAATAACCCTGTATTCCTGAAACCTCTGCTCTGCCTATTGTTTGATCTTGCCTATTTTGAAGGGCTGACAGAAGCGGTATATTGCTGCTGGTTGAAAGAAAGCAAGATTTTGAGCCTTCCTGAATTGAGAACAAGAGCTTGACATAGACTGACCTGATTAGATGTAAGATGGTTATAAATGTAAGCTAATCAATGCTTCAACCCAGTTGCATTGTTTCATACCCAATATACAGGCAGTCCTCAACATACGAACAGAATTGAGCCCAAAACTTCTGTTGTTAAGTGAAACATTTGTTAAGTGAGTTTTGCTCCATTTAAAGACCTTTCTTGCCTCAGTTGTTAAGTGAATCACTCCTGCTGATAAGTTAGTAACCTGGTTGTTAAGTGAACCTGGCTTCCCCATTGAATTTGCTTGTCAGAAGGTCACAAAAGGGGGTGACATGATCTTGGGACATAGCAGTGGTTATTAATATGAACCAGTTGCCAAGCCTCTGAATTTTGATCACATGATCATGGGGATGCTGCAAATGTGATAACTGTGAAAAATGGTCATAAGTCACTTTTCAAAATGACATTGTAACTTTAGTCACTAAGTGAGCTGTTCTAAGTCGAGGATTACCTGTATTATGCTTAATACTTGGGGTACATTAGGAAGAAGAAATCCCTTTGGAATGTGGATTGTTTATCTTTCCTGGACCTTTTATTGAGAAAATTATCAAATCATACTAATAGACTTAAATACTATGATTTTTGTCACTGTAAGTTATCTCATTAGGTCTCTGTGATAATTAACAACATTTTAAATCTTAAAAGTACTTAATGTTGCCCAGAGTTGGCTGACAACAGAAAGAATGTCCAACTTCCAATTAAACAAAGTAGTTTTTTTGTGGTAAATTATTCTATTATTAGTCTGCAGTAGATCCTGTATTTCTATTGTATTAATGTAGGTGGGGTTATTTACTTGCAAGAAATATGTGATGATTAATTGAGAAAGCTTGGAAACAAACAAAAGAAAAGGTTTGTCATATACATGTCCCACAGAGGTCAATCAGCAAATTGCAGTTGCTATAAGATATAAATCCCTGGGAAAATTTATTAAATTTTCTTCTGTCTTTTCCTCAGCAAACAATCCTGGATATTTTTAACTAGAACAAATTGTAGTATTTTGATTTCTATATAGCGCTGAATTATATAAAGGTGGAAGGAGCCTTGTGCTTCATAAATTATATCCTAAGGAACCTAAATTATAGCCTAAGGAACTTATCTTTGCCTGCAATTTGAGTTAGCATTGCATCACCAGGAATCACCTGACGATTATTAGGTTTGAATATATTCTATATGATTAATTTTCCATTTTTTAACCTCCTTTAAAATTAGGGAAATTAACTAAGTGCACATTAACTGCTCATTATATGAACATATATGTAAGTCTAAGATAATTGTTGAATATTTATATAACTCTTAGAAAATAAGCAACAATGATTGTAGTAAATGTCAGATTAGAGAAACAGGCAAACCACATTGTAACTTAGCATTATAATGGACATATACTGTTATCTAAATGGTAGCTCTTTCTAAAAATATTTTTAATATTGATAATTATAGATAACTTATAAAATAAAATCTCCTGGTTACAAGCTTTGTAAGAGTGAAGATCTGTGTGGCACCAATGGATTACTAAATTAAATGTAATAATAGTATTTGAGAGGAAAGTAGTATTTCAGACTGAAGATAATGTTCTAAAGATATGATTTTCTTTATGGTGCAGTTATTGTTAAGCACAGTGCCTATCTATGAGAAGGAAAGGTGTTGACCTTATTAACATTAATAAGGATGACCTTTGAGAAGGTGGAATATGAGTGAACCTTTGTGCACAGTTCATAAAGGCGCAGAGTTTGCATTTAAAAAGACAGCTATCAAGATAGTAAAAGACAAAACTGTATATACTCAACCAGACATTGAAAATCATTTGATGAAGAGTTCCCCACCGCCCCACCGCAGGCTTATTACATGTTTTACGTAGAAACAATACTGATTAGTGAAGGCAAACTGCTTCTTAGATTTTCATGTTTGCAGATATATAATTTTCTCTGTCAGTCTCTATCTCTATCTCCTACCTTGGTTTAAGAGCCAGTTTGGTGAAATGATTAAAACATTAAGCTAGAAATCATGAGATCATGAATTCTAGTCCTGCCTTAGACACAAAGCCAGTTAGATAACCATGGGAATTATTGTAGGAAGGAGGCAATGGCAAATGTCTTCTGAAAAAAATCTTGCCATGAAAAATGCAGGGACTTGTCCAGGCAGTATTGAAGAATTGGAAACAATTGAATGATAAAAATCCCTCCACCTTGGTTTTAAGTTTCTCCTTAATTTTACTTTTGATTATTTATCTTCAGTTTTAACAATGTTTTATTTTCTTCCTCTTATACTTTCAAATTTAATGCATATGTAATGTTTTGCTTATTACTAAGAACACCGTGTGACCAACACTTTATTTACTTTACTATTTATTTACTTTAATTCTTCTGCTTCTAAATATCATAGGCTTGCAGTAGCTTACAGAATATTACATGAAAGATTGAAATAAAAATAAAATAAAAACAACCATAGACATAAACTTTCCACTAACTATTATTGCACCATCCAATCATCATCTTCCGAACTTGCTAAGTCTTTGTCCAGTAAGGTAGAGGATTGTGATTCCTCTCTTTTTTAAAACAAGTCTAGAACAAGCACTGGGGTCTACTGAACTGGTCTGAACTAAGGTTTCAGTTTGAGAAATAGAGACTTCAGCCTTTGCTATATTTGCAATACAGATCATGGCCACCATTTATATTGATCCCCCGGGACTTATATTTAGAAAAATGGGAGAATAGATACTATAGTGGGAGACCAAAGTATCAGATGAATCCCTGTCATTGGCACTAAATTTCCTGCACTTTCTTAAAAGTAAATGCTTAATTTTAAAACAATAAAATAAAAGGCATAATATCACCTGCTTTTTGGTGTAACATATAGATTAGCTTCAATAATAGCAAATGAATTTCTGAAATAGAATAATTTGAGTGTGTGTTCTACAGTGCAACAGTTATTTAACATGTTAAAGTGATTTAAATGAATAGTATCATAATTGTTTTCAAAAATGGCTCATTTAGAAAACTGAGTGAGAACAGTATTTTTTTAAAAAAAATATGATATGTTTGTGGGCCAGCTTGTGTAAGGGAATGAGAGTCCTTTGCATATTTACTCCTAAAATTTTATTGTTCATTAAACAAGAGTTTTTAGATATAGTGGTACCTCAGTATTTATCGTTAATTGGCTCTGAGAGGTGCGATGAGTACCAATCCCCAATAATGTAGTGAGTCATAGCTGACTCACTAGTTGACACTGAGAAGTTCTAGCATGTGCTTCAAGTACCAAACAAACAATGAGTATTGGGAGAAAATTTTCACATCAAAATGCATTGAGTACCAAATTTGATAAGTTTCAAAGCTGATGTTTACCAAGATATCACTGTAATTGATAAAAATGTTATATATGAAAATTTCCACCCATGAAAATCACGTCGTTTAGGAAGCTCTTATGAACAGGACAAATATAAATATTTTGGAATAACCTTTCAGAAGAAAATGTACCTAAAAAGAATTTAAACAAGAATAGTGTGATAAAAGAAGAGAAACACTAATAGCATCACAAATTCTTTTTAACTCAGAAACTTCTTCTCTGCTTTTATTTTTTGGTCTGAAAAAGGAATTTATTTAATAAAAAGAGAATAATACAACTGTGAATAAGTAAGGGTGAAGTTGTTAGACTTTAGAATCCCATTCTATTTATTGTTTTCTTTATTAAAAATCACCATGGTATGCAAGCTGCCATTTGAAAATAAATACAATCACTAATTGGTTTAAATTATTGTAATGAGCCAGAACAAGGCTCAGAACAAATATGTTACCAGGCAATTATAACTGTTGTTGTTGCTGCTGCTGTTATTATTGTTATTAAAGATTTAATCTACAATTCCATTCAGTCTGAGAGTGATAAAGACAAGAATTCAAGTCCTAACCAAGAACCTATATTATTATCTCTTTTATTCGTTAAAAATGAAGTTCAATCAACTGAATGTTTAAAAATGTATCACAAATATCATTGACTGGCATGGATGGTTGATATGGGTTGCTGCCAGAAACCTAGGTATCAATCAAGTATCTTCTTAAAGTGTACAATGTTCCAAGTGGTGCTGTTTTTTTTTTGTAGTTCCGCTGATGTTAGTGTAGGAAACTGCAACTTTTTTGATGTATTTTGCAAAATTCTTGGACATGATACCAAGTGCCCCAATTACAATGGGTATCACTGTTTTGTCCATAATTGCATAGTTTTGATGGTCAGATTGCGATATTTCGTTATTTTTTCCAGTTTTTTTTGTTTGATTCTGGTGTCTCCTGTCTGGTACAGTGATATCAATAAATTGTATGTTTTGGTTTCTGACAACTGTGATATCTGGTGTGTTGTGTTCCAAATGACAATCTGTCTGTATTCTTACATCCCACAAGATTTGTTGTTGTTGTTGTTGTTGTTGTTGTTGTTGTTGTTGTTGTTGTTATTATTATTATTATTATTATTATTATTATTATTATTATTTTCCAGACACTATCCAAAGCAGTCTTTTACTACAGTGGCAGATACACCTGAAAATATTCGACTAAAACAGCAAAGTGAATTGCAAAGTCAGGTAATCTTTGCATTATTTTTTGTAAATGTATGAAGGATAATCTGGGGCCATTTTTAAAATAATCTTCGATTACTTATTTAATTAATAATTAAATGTTTACTGATTATTCACTTCCAATAGCATGGAGAGTTAATTGATACAAGCATTTTTGTTCCTATTTTATCTTATCCATTAACAACTCAAAGATGTGACTCATCTCTATATTTCTTCATTATATTATGTTTATAATATTCTTATTTATTGATAAGAATATCTATGGAATCTCTTGCTGTAAAGCTTTCTAATTACTGACAACAAATTTAACTCACTTGACCATGACTTAAGAATTTAACTGATAGCTAATTCCAGGAAACACTGATCTTCCTGATCATCTTCCCACATCTTGATTTGGTGAAATTATCATTTTTTCTTCCACATGTTAACTAAAGCTAACAAATCACAGAAGAAGTTTTTGATAATTTATCTTACCTAAATATTTAATTTTCTTCTCAAATGTTCTACCCAATTGTGGAGACATCATATCTGCCAGTCACTCATCAAACACAATTTTCATATGAAAGGTTTAGAATCCCAGAATTTATGGGAGATAATAGTATGCCCTTCAGATGTCCAAAAATGATTTTGCTTCCTTTCTTGGAGATTGCAAAACTTTGACCTTTTCATGTATTCATGTTTGAAAAAAAAGAAACAATTGTTAGCTATATTGATGATTGTTTATATATGTAATATATATGACATTTGAATGAGTGGCCAAGATAATAATTTTCCACAGCTTATTTATACATTCAATTTAATAGAGTACAAGAATTGAGTCAACTGGTTATTCTCTTATTCACAAGCCATTTTCTAATTTATTGTTATCTTGTTATAATCTTAACAAATTTGTATGACCACCAGTTTTGATAACTATTTCCTTCCCCTCTCCATCCATGTCATGAAGGAAATACTGAAGAGAAAAGCAGAATTGCTTCTGGGTTATCTTTTAAATTTTTTGAATATTATTTACATTTTTATGTTATTTCTTTAATTTGTGTAATTATTTTTGTTTCATTTCAAAACAATGGACTTCTTTAGAAGAGGAAGAACAGATATATAATTCCCCACTCTACACTTTATTCTAGTATGTAGTATGAGTATATAGAGGCATTCACACAGTATAGAATAAAGTAAGATAAAATGACTAAATGGTCAATCTAGTTACATATATTCACTTAAGGCCACAAGAGAAGTTTGAATGCACATGTGAGTCAAATTTGCATTGTCCTTTTTCCTATTCATAAATGTAATTTTCTTAAAAAATAGCTTATATTAAATACTCTTTTGCTCCTGTAAAAACACAAAGTATATATTCACAATCAAAGCTGAATGATTTTTTTTAAATCAGTGTTTAATTTCCCCTTCTTTAGAAGATATTTTTCTATATCTTGCAAAATTCCAGACAAACACTTGATAATATAGAAAGGATATGGAAACCTCCACTCTTTGTTGCCATATATTGATCATCTGGGTTTTTGCAGTCCAGATAGGATAGTCATGGTGTATTATGAAATTGATGCTTTCATGCACTTCTGATTTAGCATTTAGGTTTTAGGGTTGTAAATGATGAGTCACTGGTCCACTGAGAGTCAGATGATTAATGAAAAGACTACAGCATTTAATTTACACATTCACTGGTGTGAAAATATTCAGGTGTTATGTTAAATCTTGATATGAAAATAGAAATTTGAAAACAGTGAAGTGTGAATAAAGGTGGTGTTTTTGACATAAAAAAACTCTAAAGAGATGAAATATATAAAAAGGTAAGAAAGATGTAATTGAAATGGAGAAATAAGATTTACTATCAAAGAAATACGGATGATTATTTGTTCTAAATACTTTTTCCACATCTTATATATTATATAGGACAAATATATTCACTTTTTAAATTTTGGTACCTGATTATAATGACTAGCCACCTTATGAATTAATCACTTATATGGTTCAGTGAACATATATGGTTTTCCATAGTTACAACTGTATACAAGAACTTTATATTTAAATTTTTTTGATTTTTTGTAAGTTAGAGTCTAGACTATATTTTAATTCTTATAGATGCCTATTGTTCAGGACCCTCTCTTGATAACTGGTAGAGATAATATTTACATTTCTCATATTTTCTTCATCCCAAACACATCCAATCTGTTCATGCATAATTTTTCACACTAAGATAGTTGACTTCTAGGTTTGAATATGGACAATATTATATATTACCATTTTGCTCAAGTTATTTTAAATAGCATTTGTTGCAATATAATAGTATCTACTATATCCCGTAATTAAAAATCTGGTAATTTATTTTAAGTCAAATAGCGTAAGAGAAAGTAACTTTCTTTTAAAATTATTATATTTTAACTTCTAATGTGACAAAAAAATGTTGGATTTGAGTTTAGGGGGCATATTTGCATTATTTTAATGGATTTTTGGTATCATAAACATCTGTTATAAGCTATAATAATGTTTTGGCCTTCGGAAACACCATTAAGACCTGGCATTTTCCTTGGATATTAGGGGTGAGATGCCAGGTGATTTGATGTCTGTGTGGGTTTTGTAAATTTGTTATGTGCTCTCTCCGTTTTCCTTTTTGGATTATTTTAACTATATTTATGGGATTCTATCCATCCATCCATCTTGTAAATAGATTGCTAGATGCCTAGAATTATATATTAATATCGGTGGCGACATAAAATTTTTAAATAAATAAATTAGATGCTTCTTATATGGTTCATGATATCATCATGGAAATGATAGGATTATGTTCTATCAATTGTGCTATGCTGTGAGACATAAATACATAAATTATATCACTTCTGTTAGTTTAGTAATATTTCTTTAAGAGAATAAATGTTTGATTTAAAATTAGTTATTTGTTATAGTTATAAAAACCACACAAATTTCTTTATATCTAAAATCCAAATTTTATTGAATCATGAACTAAAATTCTGTCATTCTAGTCTCATAAATGTAAGAAACCTCACCCTCTTTTCTTTTAATGTCTATCAATTTCTGTTGTTTCACATTTCTTTTCATTTTGATGACTGCATTTTCTTTTTGCCTTTTTTAAAATAGAATAGTTTTGGTGTCTTAGTTTCAGTGCTCCTCACTGACACCAGATGGTTGATAAAACATGATAGCACTTAGTGTAAAGCTAACACCAAATGTGTTCTTTTTCTAACCATCAAGTCTGTGAGAAGAGAGGAAGAATTGATAAAAATCAATCTGTTTATAAATAGTATCCAAATAATATTGGAATGCAGAGAAAAAAGGAGTCTCACACATTAGATTTCTCCAAAATTTCCTTTCTGCTCTTATTATGGATTATTTCATTTACTGAACATGTTTATTCATGCTAAAACAAGTATTGATATTAATATGGATGCATGTAAATATTATAGATGTCTCTTGATTTATTTCATTGATATTATTTTGCTCAACAATATAGTACCTTCAGTCACTTATTTCTTTTTGCATTTAAGCTGGACATTGGTTGACCACAATCTTTTCTAGCCCCAGCACCATTACATGACCTTGAGGAACAAGTGACTGTGCAAGTCCTATTTGGGAAAAAAAAAAGATAGAATCAGCCTAGAGGCAAAACAATTTTCTTCAATTGAGATTATTATTAGAAAAATATAAGAATGTTTTCTTTGCAACTTAACTTTTATTTTCTTATTTTTAGAAATTCTCTAATTTTTATTTTTCTCTATCTTATTTTATATTCTATCTAATTTACATTTTTTACTTTATAGATCTCCATTCCATATATACACTTTTTACCCCATCGTGTACAACATTTTGCTTTAGGTAGTCTTTGCCTTAATGTTGTCTTTCTCCTGGCTTTCTTACTAATGCCAGCCCTCCTCCAACTCCCTTTGCCAAAGGCCATCTGGGTTGTTTACTTGAAGCAGGCCTTCTTTGGAAGGCTTTTACTATTATGAAGTACTTTAGGCTTCTTTCCATGAAGCTTCATTAGCATGTTTTGGACTATTTTTTTCTGTGGCACCTAAGCCTTTCCAAAATTAGTGTCCAAGCCTTTTTTTTTTTGGGGGGGGGGGGGATTTAGCAGTGCTGCTGGACTTCTCTGAACTTACCTGCATTCTCTTGGATGTTATTGATCAATTGTGCAAGTTCTGTTGGGATTCTCTTCTGCTGCCAGTGTCTGGACCTCACTCAAGATGTTGGGTGGTATTGGCCAAGCTGTTCTGATTTGGCAGACATTTCAGTTGCTCCTCTTCTCATCCAAGCCTTTAATATTTAGGTTTTATACTTTTAGATCTTTTGGAACTTCTTCATTTTTTGTTTTCCTTTTCTCCATTACTGCCATTATATTTCTTTTTCAGTCAGTTCTCCAGAATTGTGAACATGGAACCTTTAAAAAGGAATAGGAAGGGTGGAAAATATAGACAAGAGTTATTTCCACTTATTTTATGCAGTACAAATTCTGTGGCAGATTTTTTAAAAAATCAATGTGCCATCAATTGATGTCAATTTTTAGCAACCTGATAGATCAATTTTCTTAAAGATGAAGAAATGTGATCTTTCAGGTATTGCATTGGTGTACTCATTGCTACTGTAATTGAAGCCATTCATGCTGCTGGTTATCATTTTGAAATAACTATCTCTACATGATGAAAAATGAAGGATTTTGTTAATTAAAACTCTTCACTGTATTCATACTTAAAATTACCTTGAATCAAAGACATTAATCCATAACATCTTGCCCTTTCTCTCTTTTTCTTATTTATAGGTCAAGTACAAGCGAGACTTTGAAGAAAGCAAAGGAAGAGGTTTCAGTATTGTTACTGACACACCTGAATTACAAAGACTGAAAAGAACTCAGGAGCAAATCAGTAATGTATGTGGCAAGGATCATGCATAAAAAAAATGTTATGGAAGTGACAGTGACTTGGGTGATTGTTTCAAGAACTGAGTCTGTATGGCTTCAGAAAATTGATTATTTGGTGCTTTGTGTGTTTGTACTCCCAATTTTGTTTTATTTAGTAGCACATTGGTAGTGTGTGTTTTCCTCTCCAAGTAAATTAAAGGTGGAATTACCTATCAAAGGTATTTTATGTTAAAATGGCAAATTAATATATTTATGGTAAGCTTCAGTGCAATGCAATCAAATAGTTTTCTGTTGTGAATTAGATAAGTTAAACATTATAGAACTACTTTCCAAATAACTTTAGCTTGCAGAATTACTTTATTTAATAGGACTACTGGCTTGGATGGAAAGGATTGTCACTGGGGGAAGAAAAAGTTCTAAGAATTTGGCTGAGGAACTAATAGAAGACTTTTTACCATGGAATACCATAATACATTGGGATTTATGACAGTATGAATATTTTTGCTAAGAAAAATGCTGTGTGTCTTAAAGAAGTGTAACAGAACACGGCTGAGGATACTGCTATCGTGCAATGTTCTTTTGTTATAAGATGGAAAAAATCTTAGAGTGAGTGGGGATGCTTTTTGATAGCAATTTTAGTTCTAATCCATTGTCAATACTGTTTTTTGAACTAGGTCCACTGTAATATATAATCTGCAAAATGAAAATGGTACAAACAAACATGAAAATCAAAAGGGTTATAGAAATTTGTAGTTTAAAATATGAAAAATAGATATTCAAGTAGACAATAACTTCTTATTCACTCTAACCAAATGCAGAAAGACATTTTGATTTACTTATTTAAGGATGTAATTGGAGGAGATAGGTCTGTGCTAAAAGCTAGTACTGGATTATGTGGAACTGTTGGGATCCATAACATGTTTAGATTGATATAAAAGGTTATAGAAGGATTGTTTATAGCCTATGGTAACACCAAGGAATAGGAAAGATAAGAAATGAGTGTATTATACAAATACAGTCTGATATAAAATAATAGCTGCGTGATAATCCCAACTGTTATTCAGGAGATGTGGAGTGTGTTTTTCCCCTCTGTTTTCTGAGGTAATGGAGGTAAGTTTTTAGAATATTTTGGAAAGATATTAAAAAGATATGTGAGGAACAACATGCTATTAGCAACATTTAAAACTATAACTGTTGCATTTAAGAACAGCTTTATTTTCAAAAGTCTTCAAAACTCTTTGCTTGGTGTGGTATACAATGATATACAACCGTATTAACAATTATTAATAATTGGAAAATGTTAAATTTACACTAAAGTCTTATGCTATTAAAAAAATACTGAGGAAATTTGAGAAAAGGTTACAGAATAATAATATATCAAGATGAAATTTTGTCATTAAAAGATCAGCAAAACCTGAATGCCAAATACATAATTTTATAACTAGGTAAAGGAATGGCTCTGAAATTCAATAGGACCGGGGTCATTTGAAGAAGAAATTCCTAGCAGCAAGATCAGGGACTTGATAGAATTCTGTTGTCATAGTAGTAAAAAACTCAATGTCTTGTATGGATTGCTCTAAGAGTATTAAATAAATTAACTGCTTTTCTTAATGACCAGTTTTGGACATTTTAGTTCAATTTTCATGGTTGAATGAACATTTTAAATTGCCTGTGCATTTTCAATTTGTGTAGTGTAGTTTGAAATGCTCATAAATTATTGTATTTTCAATATTTCAAGTCAAAATATTATTATTTTTTCCTGTAGAGTACACTGCTTTGGCTTTCAAGAAGTCTGCCTATGATGTTCATTCAAGAAAACAGCAAACTACACTTTTGTTTATAATCAGAAACATTATTTTTTTTCCTTGTTACTTATAATTTTTGCTTTGCTGGATATTTTCACAATAAAAAAATTAACTGTTTAGCTTTTTTTAGTTTTTCATAAAAATGTTATAATGAGCACTGAAAATGAAAAAATAGTATGAGAAAATGAATATAATTATATTTTAAATACGGTATGAAATCAAATCCTATGAAATCATTGTTTACCTCAGTAAGAGATTTTAAATTATATTTAAAAAAACATGTGATTGGCATTTTCATATAAGTGTTTCCATGACTATTTTATAATTCTGTTGGTTTGATACCATGTAGTGCTATTAGCGAAGAATCACTAAAGAAGCCAGAGGTTTGCTTAAATTTTCTGATGGGAAGAAGTAGCTGAACTTTGTTCTGCACTTACTGAGGTGAGTTTTCTCCTTGACGATCATAAAAGTTATCAAGAAATGCAGTTCAGAAACTTAATATCTGCTTTCATTTTAAGAATATTTTCAAACCTAGTTGTTGGATAATTTCTTAGAATTAATGCTTGATAGATTGTGTGTTACTGGATATTTTTTCTAGCCATTAATCGTATAATTAATATAAATGTATTTGTATTAATGCTGTGAATTGCAGAAATGTGTTTGTTCAAAGCTTTACATTAACATTGGTTTATTATGAAATGCATACTGATTAGAAAATATATTGGTTTAAAAATAAGTTAAGTTTGATAAAATATTGAGATAGCTATGTTTATCTGTTGTAATAAAAACAACACATTTAAATGTAAAGCTAAATCATGATTAATACTATAGGAAAGAATTTGGCTTCATATTTGGGCTTGTGAACTTAACCATACCTTTTCTTCTGTCATGTGGCTAAGAACATTTTGGAAATGTTTGGTTTCATTTGGAGTTTACTAAAATTTATTTTGGGTGCTAATTGAGAATTCGTTTAGCTTAATACAGACCATTCATAATTTCCTGTTAGCTTACTTTAAAGTAATAATAGATATCAGTTTGTGAAAAATAATTATCTGTAATGAAATGTTTCTAAATTGTTTGTCCATACAGTATGACTGGTAGCAGTAAATGGGGAAGAGCCCAACCATACAGTACCTTTATTGTGACTAAGTTAGCATGCACTATTTTCAGCCATTTTTTAATTTATAATTGTTGAAGTATTCCTTTGAGCTAACATAATTTTAGCTAGCATAATTTAGCTAGCAATGCCAAACAAATAACATTCATACAGGTCTACTTTGAAAGGAAAGGAAAATGTTTGCATCTGAACAGGGACTGAAGTAAATATGGATTGCTTTATCTGCCACTTGTCAAGGTAGTCATAATGAAAAAAGATTACTGTATATAACCTGCTTAAAATTTCTGAGGTCATTGATTCATTAGAATTCTTGTTCAAATCAACTTTAAAGTAAAAAAAGAAAAGATGTGATGTTTGTAAAATATTTCTTTGCTTAAGAAGACTTTATTTGCAGACTGAATTGTCTCTGACTTACTTGTTAGTTTTTTTCCTCTCCAAGGTCAGAAAAGTTTACATTTGAGGAACATACAATAATGGATCAAGGGGAGACAAAGATAAAGAGGGTAAAATTATTTTTCATCAGCTACTGACTAGTTATGTTTAACCTTGGAGTTACTTATTGCATTTTTATGATTCTCATCTGCCTAGTGATTAGAAAAGCATATGTTGTGTTAAAACACTGAAATAGAGATGAATAATATTTGATATCTTGTCATTCTACTTCAAATAGAATTTGACTGGGCCTGTTTTTGTTTGTTCATTTATTTATTAACCCAGTGCTACTTTTGATTCCTGACACATTTTTGAAGAAGGACTGAATTCTTTTATCATCATGACAGTAGTGAGATTTAAGGTTGATGCAAGATGTAATATAATACAGTGCCATGTACATTAATCAACAAGAATGTAGCTAAAGAGAAAAGTGAATTTCTTTAAAGGAGAATGGAGGCTAATATAAATCTACAAATCACAATAGCATAAAATGGAGAGATTCTGTTTTCTTGTGAAGAAATTGTATTTTCTGCAATCTTGGCATTCAAATATTGGAGGTATGTTGAATGATACTATATTAACAACGAAGATACAATCAATCTACCCTACCCTCAAAGATTTTCATCTATGAAACAGAACTACCAAAAGGCTTCCTTAGTCTCTCTGTTAGGTACTCTCTAGCCAGATTAGCTATTTTATTAGCTAAAATACACTCTTTTGTGTATTTTATGTACTCAGCTATATTCCTGTTGAAGCCTAAGATGAAGTGAAATCAGGAAAAATGATAAAAACCTCCTTTGCTTCCTCCATCTTTAAGTTCATTTCATAGTGTGGTAAGTTAATCTTTGACTTAAAGTCAAATTCAGTTCTATTTGTAGAAGCCCTGTCCCTTTTTTTGAGAGAGCTCTATATTTCTGTTAACTGGATTTCTTGAAAAATTGAGTCAAGTGTGTCAACAATTCTTAAGATTAGGGGTTAATTGCAAATCTTATTCTTAATTTTTAAAATAAAAACCAATTTAAATACAAAGAGCTGTGTTAAATTGTCCTTATTCCTAATATAGCCTAGCTTCCTTCATTTACAGACTTCCACATTTGTTGACCACACTTCCCTTCTAGCCAATATGAAATTCACTTGTTGAAAAAATTATGCTTGGGAAAAGCAGCATTTCAAATGCTGATATAGACAGTATTCTGCTCAGCTAAAGCTTCTCCTGGATTTGTGGCACAGATCTAGCTCTTAGCCTTGTTAAAATTGTTTAAACTTCACATTCAGAACTTGAATTTTGGAAATATGTATTTTATTATGAAATCAAAGTAACTTTTAAAAAAACATTTAGAAAAATAGAGAATTTAATAAACAGATACATATAGAACTTTTGTGTGTTGAGTCAATCTAGATGCCAGAAGAAAAATCCGTATGGTTTTCTACCCAAAATTGTCAGAATGGTTTGCTTTTGTTTTCTCTTTAGGACTAAGACTGGCCCAAAGTTATTCAATGGCTTTGGATGTAAAATAAGAATAGAATTCCATTTTCAACCTAGATGCTGGCTGGGATAGACTAATATACTTTTTTTAAAAAAGCTTTAAAAAAAAAGCTTTAAAAAGATTTTCCTATTATGGTTGCTGTTTTTTAAATTTAATTTCTTATGGAACAACTTGCCTGTGTGAACATTTAATCTGCATTAAAAGACTTTTTTCATTTTTGGAAGTCTTTGCCTTATAACTGAGATTTTATTTTGCATAAATGAAGGATTTTCCATTTATGTATGTATTTGGATTTATATATTTATTCAGTAATTCATCAAAGTGGCTTACAAATCTATAGTCATTTATGCATGGAACAACAACTTGCTGAATTAGTACAATGTGATTGCAATCTGAGTGTCTTTGTAGAGTCTAGTCTAATGTCTTTTTGATATTGGAAATCAAAGTTGTTAAATAGGTAGACAGGTTGTGATATAAATTTGGAATACTTTTAAATTTTCTTATTTCATTTATGTAGGTTGAATTACACTATTAATATAAGAATAGACTTTCAGAGAAACTATTAAGTGTTATCTAGAGTAAATGAAAATAGTTTGCATAAAATTTGGACGGTACGTGCATTTATTCAAATTATTGAATAAACAATACTTGCCATCAATTGATTGAAGTAGACTGTCATGGAATGTTTGCCTGGCTGATTTTATTTATTTATTTATTTTATTTTGTTTGTCAATTGCTTACAAGATAATAGGTATAAGTAAAAACATAGTTATGAATGCATGGATACATATAAGAAAAATAAAAGAAACAATAGGACAGGAATGGTAGGCACGTTGGTATACTTATGCACGCCCACTCCAGACCTCTTAGGAAAGGGGTGAGGTCAATACTTCCCAATTTTTATTTTGATTTTTGTGCACTGGGATGATTCTGCAACCTGAAAACTGAGCATGCAGGCACAGTTTTACCCGAACAGTTAGCATGCAGGCACTGATTTACCATCTAGGCTATATTCAGTTTGTATGGTAATCTCATGTACAATATCTTACTGTGTTAAAAGGATACAGAGACTTTTGGTTTCTGTCTTGTCAAAACAGGAACTGTGTCATTTTTCCTAGGATATTGAATTTACCCTAGGATATTGAAGCCACTCCCTAGTTTGTTCATGTTATTCAGGACTGTCCTCTAAAAGCATTGAGATCACTGTCTTGTTTGAAAAGCATTTTTGAGAGAATTAAGGTGTGGAACGACTATTTTAAGCATCTGTAAATTTACTGAAATCCCCAAATGGGAAGATGGATTTATCCATTCTGGAGATGTTCTAACAAAATTGAATGGCTCAAATCTTGAGCATAATAATCTAGGAAAATCTCTCTAGAAAGCCTTGCATTCATTTGGAAGAAGCTTCTTAATTTTTTTTGCATGTATAACTATTAGGAAAATACTTTTGGAAATTTTATGTAAATTGCTGTTTAATTAATAATAGCTGGCTTTTTATAAAAAGAAGCCTGCAGAAGTTAAGTGTACTGATGTCGTATAATAAAAATAACAACAATATCACATTTTATTTATAGCCTAGTACCCCAAATAAATATCATTCAATTAATTAAGGGGAAAAGAGCCCCTCCTTGAGGGAAATGAATTGGCTGGAAATATAAATAAACTAACCAACCAACAAACAAACGATCAATCAAACAAATAAATAAAAGTTTCAGAAAGAAAAAAAACCTGAAATAACTTGAAATTCTAGCATGTTTCTATTATAACATGCAGTTTACAATCTATTTTTTAATGGTCCAAATTTTTGGTATAGAAATTACATGTTTTCAGGCATATTTTTGTTACCAACAATTTATGCATCATGAAGGAATTGTTTTTAATGTGAAGCTAATGAATACCTGTTCCATTCCATTTATTGAACCTTCTTACCTTGCCAACAACCAATACAGTGGAAAAAGGATCTTTGTAGTATATTGAAAGACACAATAGTCAAATATTCAGTTTTCCAGTTCTCATGTATCCAAAATTTAAAATTTATCTCATACTCCTTCCCTCCCTCCTTCCCCCTTGGTCCAGCTCCATTACCATTCCACGACCACCACCACCACCGCCATTATGGTGGCAGCAGTTACTCCTTTCTCCCATGAGCTGTTCAGAGCATCCAGAAATGGGGAGGTGCTTCAGTCTCTTCTGGAAAGGCTGGGCTTAAAACTCTGGGATCCTCCTCCTCCTCCACGGGACTCCTCCTCAGCATCCCCCAGTTTTAGCTCAGCCTTCATGGTAAGAGGTTGTGCACTCCCTGACTGGAACATCTTTGCTCAAATTCAGGTTGGATCTTTAAAACCCTTCACCATCTAATTCGGTTTTCAGTCTTTCCCATCGATTTAGACAAAGACTAACAATTCTAAAACAGCTTCCCTCATAAATTAGCAGCCTGCAACTTCGCAGGCAGCTTGAGGCTTTCGCCTCACAAAACAGCCTTATCTAACATTCTGATCACTTTCCCTTGTAAATTAGCGGAGCCTGCCATCCGCAGGCAGCTTGAGGCTTTCGCCTCACAAAACAG